GTTTTACAGCTGTGGAGAAATGCCCGGTTCTTACAAATTAAATACCACATTGCATTTTCTTTGGCATTAGATGTCTTTCTGATTATTTACAAATGAAAGTTGGAAAATTTTGTTGTCAAGAGTTGATTTGAAAAACTTCTAATATCCCTAACTTAACACTCCTGAACTTTGCAGAGATGAAGTCTTTAAGACTATTGTGGTACCTCATTTTAGAAGGTATTTACCTATTAAAGATAAAGTATTCTAATGTTTGAGTTTCATGTAACTATGCCCTTTAGCCTCGTCTTCTAGGCCAGTAATTGTCAATATACAAACATGCTGTTATTCTATCTCAAACAAACAAGCAAAAAAAACTTAAACATTGTTTTATTTGGGAAAAGCGCTTCTTACAAAAGGGCAGTTGCAGAATACAGAGACCTCTGCAATAATTACTTGTTTTTTCGTACAGTGAAAGAATGGGTGGGATCCAAGGAATTGCAGCAGTAGATGGACAAATCAGGAGCATCTCAAAGTTATTTTCCGGACATTAGGGCAACAAAATGCAAAGCTAAAATTCCTGATCAAGGAATTCTTATAACAACTTAAGGATTGCTAACTTCTCCCTTTTAGTGGTAGTGGGACCTATTACTGCAAATCATTTACTTTATCACAGTAAACATTTTAGAAGTTAGTTTTGAATCACATGTGTCTACCTGTGAAGTTCAGGGGCAGAATGAGGCAAATACCTACAAAAACAAACACAGAAACCTGACCAGAAAAACCCCTCAAATGAGGACAAAGTGTTTTCAACAAGCGCCTGGACTGAAAAGACTAGGAGATCATGAAATATTAAATACAACTGTATATCCAAGACCCAGTTTGTGTTAATATATGGGCTATCGAAATAGTTTTACATCTGTGGCTCATCCCCATTTCTATATTTATATAGACAAAGCTGGTACTGCTTTGTCCTTTAAGGCCTATCTGCTGTGCTAGGCTGAAACCACTGAACCAAGTTTTCTTAGTAAGACTAAGAATACTGCATCTAAGCACTCACACAAACCAAGTCTGTCAGCCTGTTGGAGTCAGCTTCCAATTCTGCATTTATTTTATACTGCTATATCTTTTATATGTGTTCTTTCATAGTTTTTCTATCATGGAACACAGTAAACATCTCAAAGCATTTGCATCTGGTTCTGGTTACCCATTAGTATTACTTTTGTGTAATGAAATGAGACCAGTCACTGAGCAAGTGCACATAGTGGGGATTATACCATCTGGGTAGAAAACACATACAAAAACACGAATGTGGAGATTTCACTAGAAACCTCAGGGATCTACCTCTTTAGTCTGTAGTAGATGGCTACGTGCCAGGTCAGATCCCTTCACTCATCACCCCTATTCTTGGACCCCAAAACAGGGCTGGTGCTTTTACTTTTGAACCTGGGGTCCTCAGAATAAGTGTGGGAAGTCCATAAACAGTATCCAAGAATTGTGTGAATCTGGTTGAAAACAGATGGTACAATAAATCTACACTAACTGACAGTTAAATTCATGTTACAAGAAAACTATCTTTAAGATTTATTTTTATAACCTTTTTAAACAGAGAATGCATTCCTTGGAAAGATTAGGGATTGAGATTAAGAAAACAGGCCTGGGTAAAATTATTATGACTGCATCTGGAGTTGATTGTGCCTGCCTTGGAGAGAAGCAGACACTGCCACAGCTTTAGAGGACACCTGCTGTCTGAGGCTCAGCAGACCAATTCACCTGCCATGCAAAGTCGCTATAGATCCAAGTAATAAAAATCTTGCAGCTCATCGTGAAACAAGTCCCATTTATCGTCAGAGACTGTCAGGTCATCATCTCTACCTGCAGACAGTGCATAAGTAACATCTCGCCTAGCTCAAAGATGACAACTTCTTCATTGTCATTAGAGGGATTGCTGTTTTCTTTCCTCAGTGAGCTCCCAGAATTGGTTTCTTCTTTGAGCCCAGTATCTACTTAATGTTCCCACTTTCTGTCCCTGTGGCTTCACTGCACCGCCATTGGGGGTAAGCAGGCTTATAAAAACACTTCCCTCCAAATGGGCAGCTTCCGTGCTCATCATCATAATACCTACATGCCTTGTTGCTCATTGCCTCCTTGTATTTCTTGGTAAGTTTTTGCTTCTTTCTACTCCACTCAGTACTCACTTGGAATGGCAAAATTAAATATGATCTGACATTCTGGGCAGGACTTTCTAATTGATTAGTACTCTCCCACTTGTGAACACACTTGAGACGGTAGATGTGGTTGCAAGTTAGAGAATATCTTAAAGCAACCCTTCACATATTTAGAGAGTTATCATGCCCCTTGAGCATCTTATTCTTTATTAAACAAAATCATCTCATTTCCTTCTCTTGAGATTTTCAGCTCATTTGGGCCCATGGAATGCTCCTGAGGGGTTTTATGTAAGTATGATCAAATGTAGACCCTATCTATGTTCCAACTACCAAAGGATTACTTGAAAAACATTTCGTGAGTACAGACATTTTGTGAGTACTGGATATTGGGTACTAGAATTAGCAATTTCCAATATTATGATAGAAAAGTGTATTTTAATAGAAAAATTATGTCTAACTTTACTCACGTTGATTAGTAATTTGTATATTGACCTACTTGAGCAAATTATATAAGTACTATTGAATATGTACATATAAATGTTCATAATTTTTGGGAGAAGAATAGCTATTATTTGAGATCTTATTACTGGTGAGTAAAATGCTATATTAGTGGATTTAACCTTCAGACAACTCTGTTTAGGCACTATTATCCCGATTTTATATAGGAAGAAACAGATTTAGGAATCTTAGCAATAAAAGATTTTATTAATCTCATTATCATTGCAGGAAGTGTAAATGTATTTGATTCTTCTTAATTTTGCTTTATGATCTCACAAAATAAAATAAACATGTCAATTGGTTTAGTTCTCATTGTTTTTAAGATTTAAGTCATTTTGAGGTGAATCTTCTCCAGTATTTAACTTAGAAATGGTTCAGTGAAGTCTTTCCCCGTCTCAGTTAGTTTTATAGACTTGATATAAGGGCATTTCAGTAGCTCTAAAATGTGTACAACTTTTATGAAATTCCCAGTTTTTTCTCTAAGGCTTTAAATTTCTTAATTATGTAAAAATATGCTATAAAATAACTTCAAGACTTTGTTTTGCATGAAAGAAAGGTAATCTGTCTCTAATTTCCTCAGAATTTTTAGTCATTAATATTGCCTTATTAAAAATAGGAAAATACTACTGCTGTTTGCTCTAAGGTATTCAAACATTCAATAGTGCCTTTTTAATAAATGGGGTTAGAAAACGTGTATTTGGTCACACTGAGGGAGTAATGTTTTCCTCAGCTATTTACCATTTTTTGGAGTAAATACAAAGATTCTTTATGCATACAGGCGTCTTTACTGACACTTTAATAATGTAATCATCTTTGATCTCCTTTGTTGTCTAAAAGAGCTGCTGCTTAAAAAATTTTAGGGAAAGATTTTATTCTAAAAATGTTGATTTTCCAAGGTTGAAAACATTTCACTTGAAAGCTTAAAAATGTGTAACTTGGGCCGGCCCGGTGGCGCACTGGATAGTGCGCCACTTGGGAAGCGCGGCGGCGCTCCCGCCCGAGGGTTCGGATCCCACATACAGACCGGTTCCCGCTCACTGGCTGAGCGAGGAGCGGGAGCAACACCGAGGGTTGCAATCCCGTTGCCGGTCCCCGGTCCGGT